AGTCTGAAAGGGTTATACAGATCCTAGAAGACATGCTGAGGGCTTGTGCATTGGAGTTCCAGGGGAGTTGGGACAACCACTTAGCACTTGTGGAGTTTGCCTATAACAACAGTTATCAGGCAAGTATCGGCATGCCTCCATACGAGGCATTGTATGGGAGGAGGTGCCGTACACCGTTATGCTGGGACGAGGTTGGCTTGGCCAAACTCGAGGGTACTGAGTTGGTTGAGGTCACCAAATCAAAGGTGAAGTTGATTCGAGAGAGACTCAAAGCGGCTCAGGATAGACAAAAGAGTTATGCAGATAAGCGTCGAAGAACCTTAGAGTTTAAGGTTGATGACGAGGTATTCTTGAAAGTTTCTCCTTGGAAAGGGATCATTCGGTTCCAAACCCGAGGAAAACTTAACCCACGATATATAGGTCCATTTAGGATTATAGAGAGGATTGGAGCCGTTGCATATCGTCTACAGTTGACTCCTGAGTTAGAGAAGATACATAATGTGTTTCATGTATCCATGCTTAAGAAGTACGTGCATGATCCCTCTCACGTATTGGAGAAGCCACCTGTAGAGGTACGTGAGGATTTGAACTACGCTGTTCAACCTATCAAAGTCACCGATAGAAAGGTGAAGAAGCTGAGGAGCAAAGAAGTCCCAATGGTTAAGGTCCTGTGGAAGAGCGATCGGGTCGAAGAAGAGACATGGGAAACAGAGGCTTTGATGAGGAAGCAGTATGCCTTCCTATTCGAGTAGAGCTGTGAATTTCGGGGACGAAATTCCTGTTAAGGGGGGGTGAACTTGTGACACCGCACCCGAATGTCCCTGGAAATTTGATTTGAATATTCATGGCTTATGTATTGGATTTCCGATTCCCAAACATTTTGTAAAACGATCAATGTTCTACGTAGTGCATGGTTGAATATCGTACTGTTCAAACTCGTACATTAGTGTCGGGTTTCGCAAATACTTACTCGGGACTTATTAATAAATAAAAAGGCCCAACATTTCCTAAATAGTGAAAGAATGATTAAAGGAGAATACAAATGTCTATAACCCCATCTTTGGCATTATTGAGCTAAATAATGGGAGTAGGATTTTCCTTCTAAAATATCCATCAAGTAAATTATTGGGATGAGCCTACACATATTGGAGATCAATAATGTGATTTAGGAAGTTGACTTGTTCTAAATAAATTAGGATGAGTACAAAAAGACATCTTTGACAAAGATAAAACAATAGGACCCATCTTCCCATTTTTGGAAGTATTGGTAGATATTTTGGACCCCAAAATGATTGGGATAAATTGGGAACCACTCCACATGATATTAGTACCTGCAAGACAAATAAAAATGGGTTAGGAGACTTACCTTGGCCGGCCATTATGGAGAAGAGCTGCACATGACTTGATAAGAATCAAAGTTTGGGCCACCACTCTTATTTTCGCACAAATTGGTGTGCTGTTTGTCTCCTCTCATTATAGGAGCTATCCTCAACCAAATAACGTGTATGAGGTGTCCTTGGATAGCTCTTGAAGTGTAGTTTCATAATTGAGTGGTCTTTGTTCGAGGAGAGAGAGCTTATCATCCAAAAATCGATCTGGAACGAGCAGTGATCTGTGAACTCGAGCTGTGAGAGTGCTGAGACTGTTTGCTTCATATCTCGAGTTATACACATCCAAATAAGGCGTATAATATACCAAAAGAAAGCTCTCAAGACGAGGAATCCTCGAAGGTCTGGTTTGCATCAATCGGAGTAGTGGAAGGCCTCCAAATCGACCGAGCAAAACACGACCTCGCAGAATACGTTTTTGTATTCAAAGAAACGAGTTAACCGGGAAACACCCGTTCTAGGGGCTGTTTTCGTATCAACGATTAAGGGTTGAACTAGCACTTTGAGGAGGCTGTTTAACACTCATATTTGAGCAAGGAATCAGTTCCAAATCCACCTTGACCAAAGCTTTGACCATTGGACCAAGAAGGGAAAGTTTAAAGCTCATTTGAGGTGAGGATTGACATCTAATTGCTTACAACTTGTAGGTTAAGCATGAGATTACCTAAATGCTTAAATCATGATTTTTCATGGATTATGATGATTATATATTGATGAAATATTGATATAGTTGCCAAGGAATGAAATTTGAAATGATTTGAGAAGGTATGAATAATATGAGATTAAATGAGTATAAATGAACTATTTTGTGAAAATGGGCATTTTGCTCATGTATGAATTATGTGGATACATAAATAAATATTTGTGTATTGAGATTGAATACTTAAGTTGCTGCTACATAATTATAAATATGTAGAGAATTACAAATAATGAGGATAATGGTATGATAACAATAATCTTAATAGTATTGAAATACTAGTTAGTGATTATTGGAACTTGTCGATTAAATTGATCCTAGGGATTGGATTGTATGAAAGGTACTTGAATATAGTTCAAGTGTATATAATAACTTAGTTTGGAACTAAGGTTAAGTTATGGGAAGTCTTTAAGGATGACCCAAAGTAGTTTAATGATATGTCAATTCTAGGCATAGGGTTGCTTGAGAATTGGACCTTAATGCATGGTGATGTAATAGAGCCGAGCTCTAGAATGCATGTAAGGTGTAGACTTGGAGTCTATGTATTGTATAGCTAGAGCCGAGCTCTAGGACTTGCGTGGTGATGTAATAGAGCCGAGCTCTAGAACGCAAGGTAAGGAAATTGACCCGAGGTATATGAATTGTATGGTGATGTAGTAGAGCCGAGCTCTAGAATACAATGTCATGTACTAGGGTTGGACTCTAGGAGTTGTCGTGGCTTATAGCCACGGGGTTGGGAATGGTGATTTCCAAATGAAAACGGGCCCACGGGCCGACTACTTGACTTTTATATAAAGTAAGTATATTTTTAAACGGGGTAACTTAGGGTTACAATCATAATGTACTATCACCCTATTTGAGGGTCTTGTGTTTGAAATACTTGTTGTATATCTATTAGATGCCTGCCACACCAGTACTTTATAGCCGTATAGAGAGTGACCCCTTCGGGGGCGTCCCACCACCATTTCAGGTTGAGGCTAGAGCTTGCATCCTGTGCTCGTTGATCGAGTGATTCCTCGGAGAGAAGACTTGGTTCGTGCTTCCTCCATTCTATTTGAAACATTAATAAATTTGCTCATGGATATTTTATTATAGAGCCTGCGTGCTCATGAATAGCCCTGTGTGGCTCTTTCGTTTTAAACAATGTTTTCCGCTGCTTTATGAATTACTTATTATGTTGTTTATGGATGACTTATGTGTGAATGATATTCATGACGCCTTGTATAATATGAATGTGTTGGATTGCGATTGACTATTCGTATTGTACGGCGGGTTGTTGACGTGTCCGGGGAGGTCCGGGGCGTGACATAAGGAACAATCCACAATTTGCCTAACGATTAGACGAAATTGTTGCAAGTTGAGTTCGAATTATTGATGCGAAGTGGAGAGTTAAAGCTGAAGAAGATCAAACATGCATAATTTGTATATGTTGGTTAAGGTGTTAGTACAGAACACCAAATAAAATCTCAAATATATCCCCTATAATTGTCCCATTTTTTCATTTTTGGATGTCTCTCTATTATTGTGCATACCATATTTGGTAACTTTTGTTTGGCTCTAATTCATTCTTACTTTATTATCACTTTATCTATTCATTATCAACCACATAATTCCATTTTTTTTGAAAATCACACCACTCTCTTCTGTCCCAATATTAGGGGGACGAGGGAGTAATAATTAGTTAGAGGCAATTTAGGTAATTTAGGATTGAGATTCCTATTTTAGGACAAGCAAGCAGAGATCTTATAGAAGTAAAACTGATAATGAAGTCTTGTTTTAGTCAAAACCCTATGAAAGGTCTTAGGGGGTGTTTGGAATTGATTATGTTTCTGCTTGACTGCTTCTATTTTAAAACAAAAGCAGAATCATAATCAGTTTTCAGAAGCTCGTTTCCCTCAGCTTCTAAAAAACAAATTCTAGGAGTAAATTAGAGCACTATAATCACTTCTGCACTTTCACCCAAACACTCCAACTACAGTTTAAAAAATTGCATCCAAACACCCTCATTTGTCATTTTACACAATTTTGTCATTTTAATGATACTCCTTATAATAATTGGACAGGATTCTAAGAGAACAATTTTGTTCACCCTCATTTGAGAGGGTTATGTTCACCCCACCCCTATTTGTCTGCCATGTGGCAAGACAATACTTCACAATTTGGCAATTATTTTATCTTTTTCTTTTTAATCCATTTTTTTTTTAAAAACATACATCAAAATTTTTCTTTTTTTACGATCTTTCATATGGTACTAGTATTGCATATAAAAAATTTTTAAAAAAAAATCAACTAAAAATAGATATTTAGAAATAAATGTTTTTTTTCTTCAAATTTTTATATATACAAAATTGATATCTTTGGAAAGATCATAAAAAACTAAAAAATCAGATATGTTTTTTTATATAAAAAGTAGACTATAACTAAAAAAGTTATAACATTTTAAAGAAAAAAATGGGATGGAATGCCACATGCCAACCATAAAGCAAAGGGGGTGAACATCACCCTCATTAGTGAGGGTGTACAAAACTGCAATCGGATTCTAAAGTCAAGAGAATCTGAAGGGGGTGTCCCCAACATGGATTTTAATGGAGTTTAGATTTTCATTAAAATCCGGGTATCCTCAATATGGATTTCTAAAGAATCTATTAAAATCCAGGTATCCTCAAACATTCCATGGATTTATATGTTAAATGGACATTAAAGATTTTGATGGACTTTTAGACCAAAATATTGAATAACCCAGACCCAGTCCACCAACAATCTCCCTAACACCCCTTGGATTTCCAAATCCATTTTTTAAAACCCCGCGCACACTATTCTCTCGGCCGGGAAATTGATCGACACACCTCCCTGGGTGTTCTTTTCCATCTTCCAACTACACTCACCTTCTTCATCCTTCAAATGTTCTCCATGTATGGTTTTCTCCAGATTTTTATGTCATTCTCACATATTCATTTACCTATTGGGCGAGCAGGCATGCAAGCTTCTGATTGTACATGTATAGTTATTTGAATGCCGATGCCTCTCTGTTGTACAAATTTTGTGGATTTGTATTCACAAAATTACTTTTCGTATTACTTTCTTTCTAGCATTCATCTTATGAAATTACTTTTCGTATTCATCTGTTTAAGTGTGGCTGATTTTTAATGCTGATGGACTATTTTTAATGCTTATGAATCGACAAAACAATAAAAAGTAAGTAACATAAAATACATGTTCATCTGTTTAAGTTTGGCTTATGAAATTACTTACATTTTTATGCTGATGGACTATTTCTAATGCTTGCTTTTTTTGTTATGTCGATCTGTAAGTTTGGCTTTGTGTTACATGTTCGTATTTACCATTTTTACAATATGTAAGTTTACCATTTTTTGTAAAAACTCGTTTTCACTCGCTCAATTATTATACGTGTAAATACTCCTTTATATTTAACTATACACTCCATACATGTATAATTTGAATAGTCCAAATTATAGTTTCCAGGCTTGTTTAACTATAACTCCATACGTGTATCTTTATATCAAGGCCAAGTGATTAATTTGATATTTATGATGCTCAGCTCATGATTCAAAAATATTAAATGATGCACTAACGAGAAGAAATGGGTTAAAAGTTCCACGAGGTAAGCATCATTTTTATCACTATAAGGTATTTTGTATTGTGTCGTATAGTAATTTATCATCTATTTCATTTGTCATCTAGGGAAGTGTTTTCTAGTTGATTGTCGATTTGCAAATCGACGTCAATTTTTGGCTCCATTTCGAGGTGTTCGATATCATCTTAAAGATTTTGGTGGGCAAGGTCGTCATCCTGAAAATGAAAGGGAGTTATTCCATTTACGTCATGCTTCCTTGAGGAATGTTGTTGAGAGAATATTTGGCATTTTTAAATCACAATTTGCGATTTTTAAGTCAGCCCCTCCGTTCCCATTCAAAATGCAAGCAAAGTTAGTATTGGCATGTGCAGGAGTGCATAACTTTCTACGCAAAGAGTGTCGCTCAGATGAATTTACATGTTGATTTAGACGATGAAGACTCTTCAGATGAATCTTTATTAGAAGACGACGAAGATGAAATTGACGATCTCCAAACACAGGATGAAGAAAGGCAATATGCAAATCAATGGAGAAATGATATTGCACAACAAAGGTGGACGGATGTTATCAATGAAGATTAGATAGATTGAATCTATTTCTTTTGTTACTTTAGTACGGTTTCTAATTGTTTAAGGTTGTACTTTGATTGCGGTTCCTAACTTTTTAAGGTTGTGCTTTTATTTAGTACGGTTCCTTTTGTTACTTTAGTACGGTTCCTAATTGTTTAAGGTTGTGCTTTGATCAAATATCAATTACATAGTTTGTTATATTTCAATTTGAGGGGTTTCCTTAAATATCACTAGATTGAAGGCAATTTATCATTAACCTTTTTCAATGAATTTTGAAAAAATGAAAAAAAAGAACGGATAATTTTTTTTTATCAAAATGTTCCGATGACTTTTCTAACGGCGGTTAGCAGCGGCTGAGCAGGTGTGGAGGCTGGGAACTAGGACAGCAGTTTGCATCGGCTTGTATCTCAAATATATTAAAATAGAATTCCATTAAAATCCATTAAAATCAATATAATTCTATGAAATAGAATTCCACAAAATTCCATATGAATCTCATGGAGTCCGTAGAATTCTATTAAAATATATGGAATTCTATTAAAATCCGTAGAATTTTATTAAACCCGTAAATGTCAATCGCAAAAATATAAGCTAAATCTCACCGAGCCCCAAACTTCGGATCGGCAATGGCGTCACAAGTTAACGATCCCCGCCTGCCATCGGCGGCGAAACCGTACAAGCAGCAGGCAGTGGCTCCTCAGGATCTTCCAGTAGACTACTCCGGATTCATCGCCGTCGTCTTCGGTGTTTTCGGTGCCATGTTCCGAGTATGCCGATCTACTTCAGTTTTAGGATTGTGTTCTTATTTTCATCCTCAATTGTAAATAGTAACGGTTATTTGGGCCAATTATGCTATATAAGGTGAGTTCTGTACTTTGATGATATGCTTTTCTTCTGCAGTACAAGATATGTTCATGGCTCGCGATAATTTTCAGTGCTCAATCACTTGCTAACATGAAGAATATGGAGACTGATCTTAAGCAAATCTCCATGGCCATGATGTGAGTTTTTTCTTCTCGTCTCCATTTTGCTCGTCCACACTGTTCTTCACTGTTGACCTTTGTGTAATTTAATGTTTGAGAATGTTTTTAACAATTGTGCCCATTGTTCTAAAACTCGCTAGGCGCTAGTCGGGCGGTTGAGGGGCGCCTAGCGCCTAGGCGGCCGACTAGGCCGATTTTTTGGCCGACTAGGCCGATTTTTTGACCGACTAGGCCGACTCGGTCTCTACAGTGACGGCCGACTAGGCCGACTAGGCCGATTAATCGGTCCGACTAGGCCGATTTTTAGAACAATGATTGTGCCTGTTTTGAATTTTCTTGCGCCTAAATTTGAAACGGTGCTGATACACAAGTCTTCAGGGGAGTCTTAAATGTGATGGAGGCCTTGTGCCAATTGTAAAATACGGAGTAATAAAAAGATAAAAAAACATATATAAATTTACCCAAAATTACCCGGGCAACGGAGGCATGGAGTCTCGAGTAAGATTGGAAGTCATTGTTGGACAATAGAATATTAAGCCTTCAACTTTAAAAGCAAGGATGATAAAATCTTACCTAAGTTGATTTACCATTGGAGATTCACACTAAGTCTTCAAGAATCAAGACTTTGGTATGCTAATGATTAGCACATTAAGGGAAAAGACCTGATTTTTAGATTAACTACGATTCTTTATTATTAGTAGCTCAATTAGTTTTTGTTTGTTTGTAATTAGATAAACATCGTGAGATAGTTTTTTTTCTTGACGAGAAGATCATAAGATAGTTATTTAGTCTATTAGTTATTCTTTCTTAGTCATTATATCAGTTTAAGAGTTAGGACTTAGTTATTGCATTTAATTGGGGTATTCTGTATACTTCAGTTAGTCATTATATGATGTGGTTCATTTATAAGGAAGAGAATTAAGTGTTTCCAATAAAATAAATATAAGCCTGCCATATCCCAACCATTCTAGTAAGTCGTAACCTTAGAACCTGTTCTTTCTTTCCCGTGTCACTTATTTTGTTACACAAGAATGTTGTTCGTGGGACCATTTTTTTGTGTCTTCCATCACAAAAGTTGAAGTGCACACAATCTCTTATCCTTGTCATAGACACGCCTCTGATGAATTTGGTGGGGGTGGGGTGCAAATATGGTGTTTGAAAGTTTAGCAGTTCTGTTTGATCGTGAGAAGAATTAGCTGCAAGCTTGCGGTCATGGAGGATGTAATAATACATGTTAATGACTAGCACATGAAGAGAAAAGTGACCAAGCTTGAGACTAGTTACAAGTGTTCGATCGTTATGACCATTACATGGATTCATATTACTACGTAGTATTTAAAAAAATAAAGATTATTAGATAGTTATTTAGTCTAGTTGTTACCTGTACTTATTTTACCTGTCTAAGACTTAGTTACTATATTTAATTGGGACTCCAGCTCCTTATACTAGAAAGTAAGGAAAATATTGTCCTTGATTCCTCAGACTTGAGGAAAAAGACTTTCCATTTTGAAAGCAGGAAGTTTCTTCCTATTTTCTATTTTTGGTGATACATTATATTATTTATAGAACAACTTATTCTGCTAGATAACATTTCGTAGAAAAGTTATTTTCATAGACTTGGAATTGGGAAAATATCTTCCACAACTAGTTATTTGTTGGAAACAAACAGGGCCTGTGATTTCTTGAACTGTTTTTCAGTGGACTGTATTGGTTCATGGCTCTGTGGACTGCTGTATATAAATGCATGATTGCACATACCCTTCTGATATGTCCTTCAATAGTATAGGACACTTTCCTTTTGACTTTCTGGCACTCTCTGAGTGTCTGATTATTTAAGAAGCTTGCGCATCATGTGAATATGTAACAAAGACATCTTATCTCGTTATTTTAATGTTGTTTTGCTATGTTTTTGGTGCGCATCTTCTGATTGCCTGCCCAGTATGTTTATTTGGGTTTTGATTTTCATCAAAGTCTTGATTTTCATGAATTATTAGTAACTATTTCCAAGTCTAGTTTTTCCATAAAATATTGATTCTGATTTGGAATTCTGTCAGGTTTGGCATTATGGGCTTGGTGACAAATTACTTGGGCGTTGGCCCTCGAGCTAGCAAGCAAAGTTAAGTGACTGTAATAAAGCTTAATTTGTCATTTTCCATTTGCTTTATGTTTTTATTCATTCAACAATGTTCGGAAAGTTAGCCTTTTTATTTATTTTTCTGTTCGGTGGCCTCTTTATGTATTTATTATTACATCCTCTGTCCCAGATTTATTTTCATGCTTTCCTTTTTCATGCGTTTCAAAATAAACTTCAGTTTTTTTATGGTAAAGAATTCACGGTTCATATCATTTCTCTCTATTTTTTGCAAAACTCTCAACTACACAATTCATCACATTCTTAGTCTACATGCAAAGCCATACGGGAAGATAATATTGGGACAGAGGGAATAGTTATTATGCCTCTCAGCCTTGAAAGCATCAACCGTATAAATTCAAGACTATATGGTCGAATTCAATATAATAGAAGATATATAGTACAATATATTTCAATGCAATAAAAGTTGTATTTCAAAGAGTCATTTTCCTAGGGGAAAACATGTAAAACATATGGCAGCTTCCTGCCTTCCTGTCCTCAAGCAGATGCAACCATAGTGCTAAATCATTTTACAAAAAGGCAAGGAAGAAAATTGGAAATTCAGAAAAGTAGAAGATAGCTGTGTTTGGGTGTTTAGCATAGGACGGTTAATATTATATCGTGATGAATCAATGATGTTTTTTAGTTGTAGTAGTATATTCTCAGATTAGACCATAACAGGTTTGGACAATAATAGAATACATATGAACCTAGACCTTTGCTAGATCAGTTCAAATCATATGACAGACTAGATCCCAAAATTCCATTTTAATTGAAAACAGTCTAAAACGTAAGACTTGACAAATAAAAATGGGACATAGAGAGAGTTCTAACAAAATGGGATAAAAGAGTGCATACACCATGCTCGGAAATTACTATTCATAACTCGTTTCTTTCGGAGGTTTCTTTGTCCGGGTTTGAGTTGTTTGAACAAGATCAGATGTGGAATAAATGAACATGTGCTTCGTGTGGGTTGCCTGAGTAATAGTGGATTTAATGGAAATGTTTTTGGAGCTCCACAACGGATTGCCCCGTCTCTCGAGCCAATCCTGTATTTATTTTCTACTAAAATGCAAGAGCTTACAATATTTGTACCGTTATAGGTAGTATTAAATCGTTGTTTCTGTATCGTAATTTCCGTTAGATTAAGTTAATATGTCTAGTTGGCGAAAGTAGTACGAGTACTAGACTACTAGTATAATAATTCCACACAAAAAGTTGAGCACTTTCTCAACCTCTGATGTGAATTTATGTATTCGTATTTTATGAACTTTAATGTAAACTCATGTTTTCTTTATTCTGTTGAAGACAAATTTCTTGCCATGATACTTGAATTTGTCTCCCACATACGGAGTAATAAATTTGTCTTAATTTGATTACAATAACGTTAACAACAAGGGAAAAAGGGTAAATATACCCTGAAGTATATGTGGAGGGGCAGATATACCTCTAAACTTCTAGAAGTGGTAAAAAACTCTTGGTGTTCCCATAAAGTAGCAAATATACACTTATACACTTATTGATTGTAAATAAAAAAAAATATAAATTTAAAATTTTAAATTGAAAAATACAAAGTTATAGAGTTACAAATAAAGATTTATTTTTATGTTAAATATTAACTCTTTAATTTTAATTTGCAAAATTATTAAATTTCCCTTGCAAATGAAGCACATCAAATCATAAATATTAATTTTATTCTTGTTGCCAAATTTAGAATACATTGTTATATATTCTGAAATGACATTCTTTGATTTTTTCTTTAAAAAAATCATCATACTTTAAAAAAATTAAACAAAAACTTAAATTTTGAAAAAACTTTCAATTGAGTCAATTAGTAGGTTACTTGCCATGTCAGCAGGTCACCCGTTGATATGGTGCACACGTCGATGTCCACGTGTGCGTCGTATCATTGGGAAATGGCTGGCGGAGCTTCCATGTGTGTGTCACGTCAGCAAAGTCAATGTTGTCTGAGCTATCACACGTGTGCCACGTCAGCAGTTAACCTGCTGACGTGGCGGATAACTTGCTAATGGACTCAATTGAATGTTTTTTCAAAGTTTGATTGGGTTTTTTAAAAGTACGAAGATTTAACAGACGTTTTCGTGATAGTACAAGGACCAAATTTACAGTTTTATATACAAAATATGTATTTTTATAGTGTAGACAATACAAAAAATTAATGATTTTTTACATTGCAACACATAAGCCAACACCTTTATGAAAGAATCATAAATATATAATAAAATTTTGAAACAATTTTTTAATTTTAACAATATTGAATTGTGATACAAAAATAATATAAGGGGGGATTGGATAGAGGAGAAATTTATTTATCTAAAGTCAATAAGAGTAAATTTACACTTTATAAGAACATGAAGGATATTTTTGTACCTTTTAGAAGTTTAGAGGTATATTTGCTTCTTATCTCTCATCAACAATTCAACAAATTACAATGAGTCATGATTAATAATTTGCCATGATAATAAAATAGTGTTGTCAACAATTCAATTCATTTGAGTGCGAGTGTGAAATGGCAAATTATACCGTGCAGGCGTGCATACGGTGGAGTGGGTGGACTGATTGTCTGATTCTACTACGGAGTAGTAGTCTTGCTTTTTCACTCCATCTTTTTCTTCTTTGGGGTGCGTCATTTTTTTCCTGTCTTTTTCCTCTTTATTTTATTTTGGGAAAAACTATCAAATAAGCCTTTCTATTATATCAAAAAAGTCAATTAGATCATTCTACTTTGAAAACACCCAATTGAGTCCTCTAACTTTTAGAAAAACACTCAATTAAGCTATTTCACCGGTACGCAACCGGTTTTCCGGTCACTTGCATATATGCCATTCAACGTGGCAACCCATGTGGCTACGGTTTTCTCTCTATCCTTTTTATTTTAGTTTTCTTTTTCTTTTTTATTTCTTCCCCCGTTGGATGTCGTGTAGAACTTCTCTCTGCCCGCTTTCTTTCTTGCGACGTAGCTGCCTGAAGGGATAGGTTCCCTTCGACCTACTCTACTGCCAGAAAGAGGGGACTGCGCTTCGTCATTCACTGGTCCGACCTTGCCGGAGGACTTAACCGGTTCTATCGATGCAGACAACATAGAATACTTCCCGGCGGATGGAACTCGGGGAAATCAATCGGGAGAGGTGAAATCGTTTATTTGCCCGATATTTTACCATTCAGGCAGGCTTGCATCTGACGGAGGTGCACAGATCTGGTGCATCCAACTTCTCGAGTGTATTTTGCGTATTTTGCGTTTTCACAGATTCCAGAAGTTCCATTCGATCTAGGATTGACTTCTTGTGAGAAAGATCCTTGGAGTTTCCGAACCTTACTCTATTCCACCATTTTAATGGTTGTGTTTTTGAGTTCTTCCTTACGCAGAATTAATCTTCTCAGAATTAATCTTCCAAATCCAATAATTGATAAGAAATGAATTTTGAGATTACATTGGCTCTCTCGGAGATATGACGATTCCATTGCACAAATCTCAAAGCTTATGCTCAACTTTTGACAGAGGACACCAGGTCACCAACTGCTACAGACGACAAAGGAAGGAGACGGAAAGTAAAGAAATAAAAAGAAAAAGAAAAATGGAAAAAGTAGTCGCCAAGTGGATTGCCACGTCTGAAGGCAACCGGGAAACTGGTTACTAACCCACAAAATGGCTGAATTGAGTGTTTTTTTAAAGTAGGAGGGTTTAATTGGATGTTTTCAAAGTACGGAGATCTAATTGACTTTTTTGATAAGTACGAGGGCTTATTTGATAGTTTTCCCTTTCATTTTTCTTCAACTCCTTTCTTCTTCTCCAAAAAAGTATTAAAAAATGTAATTTCAATTTTACTTTTCCTTCTCTTCAACTCAATCATTTTTTTATTCTTTATCAATTCATAGCAAAAGTTATATTAATCTAAATAAACAAGTATATTGCATTTGGTATTCATACTATTTTTTTCTGTGTTTTTTTTATATTCACACACTTTTTTGTAATATTTTTTTCATATTCATTTTTTCTATAATATATTGTTATCTCTTTTATACTAATGTTTTTAGTAGGTTTTTGCGACATTGAGTATGTTTATTTCGATTTACATTTGATAAAATATGATATTACATTTTCATGTGCAGTTTACATTTTCATATGTGTGAGTTACATTTATATACAATTCATATAATTACATGTATATATGATCCATATAATTACATTTGATAATACACAAAATTGCACATTCTTATGCACGAGTTATATCTTCACGTGCGTGAGTTACATTGTCATATGCGCGAGTTACATTTGAACTTGCCTCAATGAGTTACATTTTCCATACACGCAAGTTATATTTTCCATACACGCGAGTTACATTTTCCATACACGCGAGTTACATCACAAAATAAAATCCTATTATTTAAACCGAAAAAATCACTAATCACGCGTGTTTTATGCGAGAGATGCTAGGGGTTTGGGGAATGTGCTCCTATCTAGCTTTGCGGTTTCATTCGTCCACCTGAAGCCTGCGCGGCAGCGATGCCGCCGGCAGAGGGCCTCGGACCAGTGGCCGTACCGTTGAAGCCTTCGTATGCAGCGGCGGTAAGGGAACCTCTCCCCCGGCCAACGATTGCATGCTCAAGCAAGTTCATTCATCGACGCCGCTCGGTTGGAATTCCCACAGAAACCATCCGGATCCGTCAACAGTTTCCCTGCTGTATCTTTCTCTGAGGAGGATCTACAGGTTTTTTCTTGCCATTTCCGTTTTGCCCTTATCGGTACGTTCTCTAATGGCCGCCCCCAATCCCTTCGATTCGCAAAGCGTTAGAGGCGCTGGGTTTTTCCCAGCCCTACTCTGTGGGACTTGTTCAATCAAATATCGTCTTGAGAAATTTCAAATCGGACTTAGATTTTCAAAATATCATTTTCATTTTCATTTACCCTAGTGCCACAAAGGCTCCCACCTACGGTGAGGTATGGGGGGTGGACGTACGCAGTCTTACCCCTGTACTAAAGCACAAAGAGACTGTTTCCGGATGACCCATGGTGAAAATCACGTCCAAAATTGCATGGACTGACTGCTGTTTCATAACAAAGAAGCGCAGACAGTTTAGTGAGCCATTTTGCTTTATTTCATCATATTCTCAAGCCAAAAAATAATGAATCATTGGCTCCATTGCAAATGATGGAAAAGGACTTAGATTTTCAAAGATTCTGAAAAAAAATATTAGGATTTCTTCGGATACAAAATGGCAGTTACCCAATGGACACCCCATTTTTCCGCTGAACGAGATTCCCCCTTGGCCCCTGTTTGGGTCGCCCTTGAAGGGCTCCCAATTCATCTTCATGATATTAGGGCACCGAACTCAATCACTAGCTTGCTTGGGAAACCAATTAAAATTGATGCCCCCACTGCGAATTTTTCTCGACCTTCTGTTGCTCGAATTTGTATTAAAATTGATTAATCCAACCTTTTAGCGGTCTTCTTACAATAGTCTCACCTTTTCGTTATTCGTGAATAATCCAACCTTTGCACCTCATCTTCATTCATTGGTCCCTGACCGGTTGATGCCTTGCTATTCCAAGTTATTTTCTTATCTTTGCAAACCATTATACCATAAATCTCACCTTTCACAAAAATAATATTTTGCAAAGATAAAAAATAACTTGGAATAGCATGTTATTAACCGGTTAGGGACCAACGAAAGAAGATGAGGTGCAAAGGTTGGATTATTCTTGAATAACGAAAAGGTGAGACTATTGTAAGAAGACTGCTAAAAGGTTGGATTATTAGTTTCCATTTTCCCTATATCCAGGAAGCTCCTCCTAAAATCTGGATTGGAAATGGAGCTACTAGTTTTTTTCAGATCATTCTCTATGAACGGATTCCTGTTTACTATCACACCGGCTACATGTTTGGCCATACACTCTCAGTTTGTCCCAGGGTAGACAAATCGGTAGATGGTAAGGCCCTGATGGTTGCTGATGGTGACACTGTCCAATCCAGTGATGCCCCAATTGCTATTTGTGATGTTAATGCTAGTATTGTTGTTTGTGCCCCTGCGGTTGTTGTTTGTGAAACTAAGGACCCAACGGTTGATGCTGGTGACTAGGTCTGTCAATGGGTCGGATACGGGCCGAAACTATAAATTCCATATCCGTTGAATTTTTTTTTTGTCCAGATCCGGACCCATTTACCATTCGGGTCCTAAACATATGTTCTAGATTTGGATCCGGCGGGTCTTGGATCTGGGTCGGGTATACCCGCAAAAAAAAAACTAAATAACATATGCAAACAAAAATAATATACAACAAAATGTTGGAAGAGATCATATATAAATGAGCAAAATATTGTTCTAACCAAGCATTCTAGCCCAGCTGGTTGTGAGGCTACCGTGCATAGTGGGAGGTCTCGAGTTCGAAACCCGCTAGGCACGTAAGGGTTTGAAACTCAATGGAATGAGTTTCAGCGCTAATTACTCCAGACCCCCTCCCCCAGACCCCCTTAGAGTAAAAAAAAGCAAAATATTGTTCTATCCATTACTCCTTATGAACTATACAATATATACAGAGTATGTTATATGTATATTAGTGAACTCATAGAGAACCTAGGACACTAAATCATTAGCGAAAATCCCATTATAGTGGGCCAACCACTAAATAAGCCTACAAATATTAAAACATTTTTTATATTTGATTATTTTCCTTATTTAATGTTTAAATATTTCTATGTATATTGTGTGTGTATGTAAAAAATTATAACTATAATTATATCATCACAGGTCGGGTCCAAAACGGGCCAGAACTTAAAAATCCATATCTAACCCATTTTCTTTATCATGTAACGGGTTCGGATCCGGATCCGGAAAACGGTTCTAAATATAGACCCATACCCTCAAATAAAGTGTCGGATTCAGATCGGGTCCGGGTCTAGACCCGACCCATTGATAGGCCCACTGGTGACACTGGTTACCAGACCAGTGATGCCCCAACAACTTCTAAAGAGCCTGATTGCGCCCCGGGAGTCCCTATTGGTGATAATCAGGTTACGCCTGTGATTTTAAATACTGTTTTGATTGTCCCAATTGTTAATGAGGACTCACGGTTTTAAGTCTGGAAACTCCTGATGCTCACACTATTGATGTTATTCCTAATGCTTCTGATGCCTTTGATGAGAATTATAATATCCCTGTGATTGAGAAAACTGATTTGGATGTTAATGCTCCAAATTCAGCTTCTGTGCCTCTTAATGAAGCCCTCCTCTTATTGAAGCCCTTACTGATTCTTCTAATGCTGTTACTTGTGTTGTCCCTATGAAAGTGGCCACCGTCCTTAATGATGCACCTTTTGATGGTTCATATGATCCCTCTTTTGCTACGGAAGTCTGTCAAACTGTTGCCCCGGTTCCAGAACTTCCCCCCACTATTAACCCCCTCCCTATTGATGTTGCCTTTACAGTTTGCGCTTTGGACCGTGTTGATTACTCTGTTACTACAGATGCTACCAAAGCAGTACCCCTTTCTGCTGCATTAGATCATGGCGAACCCCCAGTGGCTACCTGTATGAGGCCCCAGCAGGACATGTGGATCCATCCCAATATTGCGGTTACTACACTTGACCTGTCCAATGATGATACTATTTCTGAGGACAAAAGAAATGCTATTCTTTCTGTTTCAGGTGATGAGGAAAACCTACAAGGCTTCACGGAGGTAAAACGAAGAAAAAGCAAAGACCAGCACTCGTTCAGAACCCCCAATGAGGATTCAGAAGATGTATAACTCTTCTTCGACGTGGGCTGGACCACACATCCGATGGTCACCAGAAGCCGCTCAAAAAGACCCCAAAACGAAACAGATTACTTCCTTTATCCGGTTGACGAGAGGTTTGACTCCCCACATACACTAGCTGCAGCTCTCAAGCAGTTTAAATTAGCTAAGCCGGATGCAAAAATTTACCAACCTTATCTGCAGAGAGCAATCAAGTTCCACAATCTTAATTGCTGATGTAATTTAAATTTCCTGTTTTGCTTTACCCTTGTACTCTCAAACTTTATTCTAATAAATTTGGGAGGTGTTCCCCAGCACCCCCACCTTGTGTGGTTGAACCGGGACAAAAAAAAATATGTGAGAGTTGCTATTCAAAATTCATATAAATCTGCATACATTAATTAAATAAATAGAAGTAAATAGGAATACTTGAATAAAACCGACCCCAACGAACCGATGTCTTCCTTAAGACGAGTTTACCTACTTGTGTTGTAGGTAATACTATTCACGCATGTGTTAGCTATTCACGCATGTTTTAGCTGTGTGAGAGCACGATGCTCACCATGAACTACCCACAATATAACAACTGATGTTGTATGGGATGATAGAGATCATTTGAACGGAATTCTTGGGGCATCAAAGGAGAGTCATGGAGGTAAAGATTTGGGCTTGCCATCTTTAATTGGGCGTAAAAACTAAAGAGAAGGAAAAATTCGAGTACATTAAGGAGAGGGTTATACAGTGTATTCAGAACTGGAATAGCAATATTCTGTCTAGTCTATAGCATGGCAAGTCCTGCTCAACTGTTATTCAAACAATGCCACAGTATGCCCAACGTTTTTCTCTTACCAACTGACTTAAGCAAGACATTGAACACATTACGAATGCATATTGGTGGAGGGGGCATGCGCTTAAGGGAAAGGGGAGATATGTTACCTGTGTATGCCTCCTGATTGTATTGTTAATCAGCTGCAGAGTGATTATCATTAATAAAGTTATTTGATTATAAAAAAAATAGTCGGCATTATTCTAAAATACATCAAGCACAACCGCATTGAAAATAATAAAGAATCAAATAGGGGCGATTGCGCTGAACTACTTGAGCTCATAATGAAATTCCCTTCCATCTATGCCGCTTTCTTTCTGTTCTTCAGGGTGCAATGGTAAATAAAGGCTGAAAACAAGAAAATTAGAGCATAAGAACTGAAACCATGATCGCAAGAGATGTATATGAATTGAGAGAAGATGTACCGTTTCAACACTGACAGGCTTTCCATCTTCAATGTGTATTTCAACAACTGTTCCGGATATCTCAGCCTGTCAAAGTTGCAGAAAAATAATTATTTTGGCGGCCACAGGCCGTTAGCCCAAAAATGGTAGCAGAGTTTATTAGCCGTGACTGAAAATTACTTTTGTACGTAGCACATGTAAAGAAACAATTGTGATTTTTTATATATCAGGAACAGATGCCCTCTTACAGCCTTACTTTTATACTGTGGTGACAGATAGTTTGTAATGTAATGTTGAAAGACGATGCCTTGTCGGGTTGTTCAATTAAGTCTAACATAATCCAACAAGATCCTTGAACTTAAAAGACAACAAATCCAGAACACCCAAAACTCAACATAGGTTACATAGCCTTCTTTGCCCAAGTTGAGCTAGACACCCCGAATGAATGGACAAATGGGCCCTATAAACCATGCTGCCTCAAACCATCATCAAGTACTTAGATGCCCCTCAAATACACATCAGATTAGGTTCTAATAGAATAATTTCGTGTCAAATTGAAGCTAACTCACCCAAAAAGAAGTGGTGAGGTTTACCCCCACAATCAAGGTTGTCATGACTCATGACTGCTGCTATACCTCAACCTAGCAGACCACCTTTTCACCTAAGCTAGAATAGGCAACCTCGCCTACCTGACAATTAGCTACAAGTAGCCGGGTGCAGTAGTTGATTATAATATACCAAGGAAAGTATAAACTTTGGTGCATGACTTACGAATGTATCATATCAACTCAAAACAAGAGTTGAATGTCTACGAAATCTCAGCAAAAAGCACTGACGTGATACTTGCAATCGCTATCTAAAGAGACTAAAATTATCATTGAAAAAAGTCATCAACAAAGATAAAGTAAGAAAGACAAAACAATGAAGAACAGGGAAGAAAGACGAAACAAAATGAAGAATGAAATGGCAAACATGGAGGACAGCGATTTATCTTTGTTTTTCCTCACTCTATTTATCTTTTTTTCTGAATTGTGATACTGCTATTTAAATGAGGAGAAATGGGTGGTAAAGTCGGGTCAAATTTTTTTTGACAAAAAATCAATCATGGGCATCAGTATGAGTGCCTAATCGACGTTAATGCAATGCCATTAAGCGTCTGTTTCTCTTCGGGCAAGCCTTACCACTGTCTCGATGTCTAAGCATCGCCTATAAGACACCATGAAAACCATTCTCACATTTATGCAAAAGGAGCCCATTTGAACAAAATTTCAATGTGTGTCTACATTGCCATGTAAGTTTAATGGGGACTATATAATTGTATTTCCATATTTGTTAATGTGGGTACATGACACTTTGCCTATAAGGACTCCTTAGAAGAACTCCACATACCTGCTTCAGTCAAACCCAACATTGAAACTCACACACAATGGGGGTTTGGGGAAGGGATAATCTAGGTCATCTTTCCTATGCTTTTGCAAAAATAGAAGGATTCTAACCCGAACTTCCAGGCCACAATGGGAGAGCCTCAACTAGTTGTGCCTATCCCGTTCCCCATATAAATCATTTACCAATAAAAAAGAAAAGCAGAATTAGTCCTATGTACTTGAAATACTTAGAGATATAACTCACCTCAATTTCATTCATCAGCTTCATTGCCTCTACAATGCAAAGTATTTGCCCTTTCTTAACTGTGTCTCCTACCTGAGAAACAGCAAGTGAAATCATGATGTGTTGTGAGGATATGGAAATTGTCAACTTGTCAAGTATAAGATGCCTTCTTGGAGATGCACAAAAGAAGGTAGCATAAGTACGCAAATGGTTTTTCCGGTAGTAGAACATGAGACGAAAAAATAGTTACAAAATATCAACTTTAAAAGTTGTAATAATTGGTGGATATTAAAATCAATATCATTTCTTTTAAAAAGGCCTGCATTTTGATTTATTTGAGAGATGATCATATGATGTTACTGGTGTGTCAGATCTACTATGTATCTTTTTTATAGTCCTGATATTTCTCAAAATGTTTTGAATTAGTTATGTTTCTTGACATTTTCCGAAATTTATGGCATCTAAAGGTTAATCGGTTAAGTGACCAACAGAAATCATAAATCCGCCCTTCTAGTGTAAACTTCTTACTTGTTCCATCTGATAGGGACCGACCTATTAGGATATTAAATAAAAGAGTTAGTATAGTTATATTTCTGTTTGAGCTAATAACTACATTTTGTTAGTTCAAATACTATAAATAGATGTAAAGTGGGAGTAATTGGCAGGCTGTTTGTGAGAATTTGTCTTAGACTGGGAAGTTAGAGCTCTGTCTCTTTCTTTTGGGTGCTTCGGCCATTGTTACTGCTCTTCTTCATCAATAAAGTTTACAGTTCTTGTTCTTGATAATTCTTTGATAGATTTCTGTAAATCTTCTGAAAACCTAGATAACCCTAACACCATCTTACATCAAATGATGGAAACATTCAACACAACTTGCAATGTTATGCCAAAGTGAAAATTTGAGAAGCTATTCCAATTTTCCTTGCGTAAACATGGATAGCAGTTAAAGGATTCCTGAAAAAAACTACTTTGTAACCAACAAAAGATCACATTTGAGAATAACAATATAAGATACCTTAACATAAGGTGGTGCACCAGGGGAAGGAGCGCGGTAAAACGTTCCAGCCATGGGAGATTTCTGTTGTGAACCAGATAACTTTGGTTTTGCCGCTGCAGGTGGTGGAAGTACAGGAGCTGCAGCAGGTGAAGGGGCAGGGGAAGGGGCAGGGGTAGGGGCAGGGGAAGGGGCAGCAGGTGTCATCAGAGGCTGGGCAATTGGCTGAGGAAAAGAGGACTGCCCCGTTGAAACAGGAGCAGCCCTGATGTTCGTCTCTGGTAATGTTTCTGCTTCTTTCTTCCTTATAAGGATTTCACAATCCATTTGCTTTAATTTCACTTCCATGATGTCCTTCGAATCTACAAGCCTGATCAGGGGAAAATGAATATAAAATGTAGGAGATGAATTTTTAAGACAAAGCAAGTGAAATAAGCAAAAGCCTGTCATCAAATTCGTACTCACTTAACAAAGTTCACTGCTTGAGACAGGAGAACTGAAATGGAGGAAGCATCCGATACTTTCTTTTCAGCCTGGGGAACTTCTTCCTCAACAATAACCTTTGAATTGCCAGATTTCTCAACCGCACCATCCTTTTCATTCCGACAAATCACTAATTTAACTCTCATGACAAAATAAAAGATCACTCTCTCTGTGTTTGGACTTTGGAGAAATTATCTCTTTCCTAGCTCACGAACTAGTATGAACTCTTGCATGCTCACTCATGCATTCAATAGCGCATTCAGTTAAGGTGTTAATATGACTTTGTATTATACATTGAAACGTACAAGAACAATGTTACAAATGGACTCATAGCTCACTTCAGTCTTTCTATTTGTGACTCGTCTACTCTACCTCATTCACTTACGCTTCTTCAATTTTCTCCTATCCTGTTTCTGATTTCACTACGCAGAACTAGAAGAGTTGGTTCCACTTTCGGTCCTAACTCCATTAAGACATTCCTAACCTTCATTCTTAACCTTTATAGATTCTGTCAACTGTTGTCCTTCCGGGTGCTATATCAGGAAAATTTTAATGAAATAGATAGGATAAGTGCTCAGAATGTCTACGCCTGACAAAAAATCTATAATCGTCAGAGCAAAAAGTAGAATAATGAAAGTTAAGGACATAATTATGAATGATCAAGAACAGTTTAAAGTGACAAAGAACGGTTTTGAATTAACATGAGTAATTAAGTGAAGTATACCTCATTGAGCTGCGCAGAAACCTTCAAGACACCCTGAAGGAGACAAAAGAATTGTTTTTGTTATATAAAGAGATAAAGAAAAATTAAGCTCACACCAGTAAAATTAGCCCAGAAAATATGGTTTTTTTTTTATTTAAAAAAAGAGAGATGGAGAGCAACCAATGTAACCTGATGGCGAGGGAGCGATCTGGAACCCGGCAGAAAACAAACGGAGCTTATATGCTGCGGAAGCTGAGGGCGGGACTGGTAGGAAGCAGCACCGAAAAGGGCGGAGGTCTTAGCGGAAGGGACGGCTAAAGAAGCCATATTTACAGACATTGGATGAAACTAGGAAATGGGATCAAGAAATCTGTGCAGAGGTTGGGATGAGGAAGAGCAGAAAATGAAGGTGGGCGTTTAAAAATTTGTGAGAAAATAAAGAAGCGGTCAGATTGATGAGAGAAGAGCGAAATCGAGAAGGCGATGCATCCGAGAAGCGGAAAACGTGACATTTGTGAGTTGCCGCAATTGTATACCATGCAGAGTTGGAGACTAAGAAGCTGTTCTCTGGCTCTTAATCTTATTACTCTTAGACTATGTTTGGTATAAAGGATGTCTCAATTGTGAGCTATTGTTTGAATTAATTACTATTGTACGGAGCTGAACTCTAAAGTGCTGGATCCGAATTGTTAACGGGGAAGTAAACCTGTTTGGTAAAAAGAGCTGAGAAATGTTCGGATATTATGAAATTATATTAAAGGGCAAATGATTTATTAATAGATAAAAAATATTTATTATAATAATTTTAATATTTTAATATATACGGAGTATTAAATTTTATATTATATGCTTATATATATAATACGGAGTGCTACGGTTATCTCGTGTAAATAATAAATATGAAGTATAGAATTAATCAAATTGCGTACTCTCCTTTAGTTTCTAGTTTACCAATATACGCACACATACAGTGGAGGACCTGGGGTCCTAGGGCGTAAGTCCCCCGCTTCCGACCTCGAACTTTAGTATTAGTACTTAGGATAAAAATAGTGTCACGCCTATCAAATTAAAAAATACTATGTATAACTATTAAATGAGGTAATAATCCATTCAAAGAGTATATGAAAATTGTTATAAGACATTTAAACGACAATAAAATTATGAATGAATGATTGCTTATGATTAGACATGATCATAAATGTAATATGAAAATTATAAGCAGTGCAAAGATGATTCAGTTGTAATCCATGTCATGTCTTTCTTTCAAAAATCAAATATTATTGTTCAAAATTGTCTTAATATGTTGAAATTAGACCTATAAATCATAGGTGTACATCTCTTGGAACCGACATTAAATAACTATTTCTCTTTAATAAAATTATCTGCACAAGGCAGAATAGAAGACTATCACATCCGACTAGACCCGACCTATTTATATCTATTTTGCAGTGTACCTCCTTGACAAAAGCTTTGGATCCGCCACTGTACACATATGTATGTATAAATCAACCAAATTGCATAGCACCAAGGCATCATAAACACTGCGTAAATCTACCTTACCTAGATATTTTTCAATAATTATTTCTTAATTGATTAATTTAATTAATTTGCAGCAAATGATAGTGATTCACAATCATATACTCCGTACATTCTATGAAGCTATTGAACATGATTCTTCGCTTACTGTTTATCCTGGCAGAAAACAAATGGAGTATGAGAAATTAGAAATAGGAGTTGATAGCTTGGCGCGATTGGAGAAGAAACAAGTGTTGTATCCACAAAAATTGGGCGCAAAAGTAAAAAAAATCATATCCGAAAAGCCTTGACCACAGATAGGAGAAAAAAAAATTGGAAGAGAATATGGCGGTTGAACAAGGGATAGCATGGGTATGTAAAGTCTGGAAATAGCGGACTGATTCTAAACGTTAGGTCTCTCAACGTTTCATTTCAGGTCTCTTTTTCCAGTTCAAGCCATCGTTTTATTACTTATTGCTTATTCTTATTTTATTCAGATCAGATCATATCAGAAAGATTCAGATCAAATCAGAAGCATTCAGATCAGATCAGAAAGATTCAGATCAGATCGGATCGGAAACATTCAGATCAGATCAGAAAAATTCAAACATGATTTATCACTTTTATTATTATATTAATTATAATTATTACTATTATAATTATAATTCTGTATATTATAATTATTGTTAATAATATTAATAATATAAATATTATTATTTTTATTATATAATAATAATAATAATAATAATAATATAATATAATATAATAATAATATAATAATATAATAACAATAATATAACAATAGTAATAATATTATATTATATAATAATAATAATAATGTTATTATTATATTATTATTGTTATAATAATAATAATAATATAATTGATTATTCTATTATTATTATTGTTATAATATAATAATATAATTATAATTATATTATAATTATAATTATAATTATATATATTATCATTATTGTTGTTGTTATTGTTGTAATTATTATTATACTGAGTAATTATATTTCTATTTATAATTATAGTTATAATTGTAATTATAGAATTAAATATTATAATTATAATTACAATAATAATTATATAAGTAATTATAATTAAAAATATAATTACATTTATAATTGTATCTATTGTTATAATTAGTGTAATTGGTATACTTATTACTCCCTCCATCCCTCAAAGTTTGCCACTCTTTCTCGAAATGGAAGTCCCTAAAAGTTTGTCCAGTTTCTATTTTAGGAAATAAAATGCCTTGAAACACCAATAATACCCTCCCCTCCCTAATTTTATTTCGGTTCATCTACCCCCTTTTATTTCCGTCCAACCTGTTCTCTTCCCCATTTATTACCTACCGCTTCTACACTCTTCTCCTTCTCACTCTACCTTATCTCCTTCCCTCCCTTACCGGCCGTTCTACTTGAATGTATGAATATGTTGCTTATGATTGCAACTGTAATTGTAGCAGCCCAGTGAATAAACTGGGCGAGGCTCGATTACAAGTGCAACTGACTTGGTGGATCTGTGTGTAAACATTGTTACTACAAACCTTTGATGTATCATTTCATCATGCATCTGGGCTTACAAAAAACCTGTCCTTGTACATTTTTACAGTACATTTATAATGTGTACTGTATGTGTGTACATGTACATACATAAATATTGTTAGACATAAAGTGTGTTTACATACACCAAAATGGAAAAAAATGTGAATGCAAAACACCTTTGTAGCAGTTCATATGTGAAGAAAGATCTACTCTTCAATTATGAACTGTTCTTCACTTTGGTCTGCATTGGTAGTAGTTGCCATATGTCCAATTAGATATGCCCTAGCTGATTCATATAGCTCTGGACTAATCTAGATATTTTTGGGCAACAACCCTTGCCTTTTCAAAGATTTCTTCCCTATGTGTGCGGCAACTTGAAATTGTTCCCTCCATTGTTTTGCAGTACACTTTGCATTACACCTTGATAGCTTAGAAATACCTTGTTCAAAGTGCTTGGTGTCAGCTCATTGAAAGCTACTTGAACTGCATCAATTAATTGTGTTATAGTCTTTGGTGCCTTTTGATCTTTTATTGAATCAATAACCCTAAAGAACCCCAAGTCCAGCACATTAAGGTCTGGGCTATTTGCGGGCTGACATATGGGTTGGATTTCCAACCATTCTCTGTCCCACACTTGACAAAATCTGGGTCATCAACTAGAATATGTGGTCTGGCATTGTCTTGTTGAATCATGATATTTCTGTTTTCAGAATCTGGCCATTTCTCCTTAATTGTTGGCATAACTTTATTCAAAAGCATATCTTTAATAACTGGTCTTGTCACACTTGTGATTGGTTTAGTGACTACAGTCCCAGCAGGCCTGTTCTTGCTTGATCTTTTAGCTGGTTCTTCATAAGTGAAGGGGAATATACCTACTTTACCATCCCACTCCACTTCCCCATTCTAACCCAGCCTTGGCCTACCAACCACAACCAAAAACATGATTTTTGGGACGAACTTTTTGGACTGCACTGATCTGTATGGATCATTTTCATTAGGCAGAGTGTAAAACCTTGTTGTTTCTTTAGAGAGGTAAAACCACTTCTCATCAATGTGTAAGTAGTTATGAAAGTCATGAAAAGTAGGGCTGTCAGGAAGGGAAGCTGGGTTTATGTGACTTAAACATTACTCTAACCTTTTAAGTGTCCCAGCTTCACTCAATAAGGGTTTCATAGCACTTGAATGTCTTCTAATTTCCTTTCTTTTGAACCATCTGTGGATTGTGGATTTGGAAACTTCCATTGCATAGCCCGGAGCACGCATATTTTTCCTTTTATGCAATGGTATTTCAGTCAGCTTTTCAGCATTTAACACAACCCTCTTTCTGCCTACATGTCCCTTGTAATGACTTTGCAAATTTATAGCCTGACCACCAAGCATTTGCTCTTTAGCTGTCTGCCACATCCTGATTACAATGCGGGATGAAATGTTGAACTCATTTGCTGTATTTTTTATTATTCCCCTATGAAGTTTCCCAGCACAAGAACTACCTTAACAATTTTTCAACTAAAATTTTCCTATCATCAGTTGTTAGTTTTCGCCTGATACCTGTGTGCGCTTCTGCTGTAGGAACTGGAGCTGCTTGTTCTTCTTCTGAGCTGTTAGGAGGTGAAGACAGTCTGAGATCCACCATATCCAAGGGCACTGCAGGACTGCTTTTCAGTGAAGGATTGTATTGAATGCTTACTTGTGGTGTAATAAATGAGTGGTATATATAGTTGTACGGGTTCGCAGATGTAAAAGGATGTGAAGTTAAAATTTGGAGGGAGTTTCGAATTTTTGGGTTCCAAATTGTCTTGGTAGACAATTTGTATGTATACTGTAGAACCATCTTGTCATTAGGTACTTTGTTTATTTTTGACCACTCCTTTTGCAAGCTTTATTCGGCCCCATCCCTTCCCTTATGTTTTTACCGAATTACATTTTGGGGTAATACCCTCACAAAGGTGAGGGTCTTTTTGGAAAGTCAAACACATTTATTCCTTTCTCTTAATTAGCCCAAAGTCAAAGAGTGACAAACTTTGAGGGACGGAGGGAGTATAATTTTAAGTTTAATTTTAATTATAATTACTACGAGGGACGGAGGGAGTATATTTTTTTATTATGATTATAATTATAATTTTATTTAAGTTATATTTGTAATTACAATTATAATTATAACAATTATAATTATAATTACAATCATATAAAAATTCAAAACTGATCAGAAAAATTCAGATCAAATCAGATCAGATCAGAAGAATTCAGATCAGATCAGAAACATTCAGATCAGATCAGTCTAGATCAGAAAGATTCAGATCAGAAAGATCCAGATCAGATCAAATCAGAAAAGTTCAGATCAGAAACATTCAAATCAGGTGAAGTAAACAGCTTCTACATTATCCAAGTACGGAGTATCATATACTCGTAGTATTACTATGTTTTTCGAGCACCCATACTTCACTGCGAGGCCATATTCGCCTATAC